TCAGTGTAGTCTTTTTGTTGTTCATTGAAGGGAAGAAGGATTTATCTTTCGATCTACTGGTATCGTGGTGTTTTTGGTTAAGTTTTAACTCTGATTTATGAAGAATTTCTTAGCGTGTTTCTTTTACGTACATCCTATATGTTTTATTGTGCCTTTCTAGATCTCTTACACATTCAATAACTATATTTCTGAAGCTTAAAATATGAGGATATATCTTCTTATGTTTTAACCGTGTGGCCGAGCAAGCAAATGAGAACACCAACACAAAAAAGTTTTTTGAATCTAATTCAACACCAAAAAGATATTTGTATCTAATTCAACACCAAAAACTATATCATGAGAAACTCAAGTTCATATAAGTAGACCATCAGTCAAAGTGTTTTATGAAATTCAACAAGTATTTCAGCATGTATTTCTTGAACATTGACTTTTCATTACACCAGCTAGTACCCCTAATTTTAATAAAAAGACATGGTTAGCACAACCAGTAAAGCCAACAGGCTTCTGGAGCAATGATTCCTTATCAATCCTAGTTTATCAAGGACAAAGTCCACTAAATACCACGTCAATGGGAACCAAGTATTGTCACATTTATACAAAAAGAAGCCAACAAAAGTGACTTGAAAAACTAAACAGAGAGACATGATTTCCAGAAATTGAGTGGTTGTCCATTTGAAAATAGCTTTTTACATAACTTGAACAAATTTCTTGAGCTTCAAATGTAGTTACTGGTGAATTTTACAAGTTTAGATAAGAACAAAATCTGGATTAACTACTAAAAAATTGGATTTAGCAATAGAATAATTTTGTACCTAAATAACAAATTATGTTGTTAAACCCACTTATCGATGAATTAGCGACTGATTTTTGTTAGCAACAAGCAAAATAGCAACAAACTAGCGACGACGTTCTTTGTTAAAGGCAGTGTTTTCTAGTAGTGATTTTTTCTTTAGTCATGTAAAACAGTCTAGATCAAGGCACTTAGACCTGTACTTTTTTTAATCATCTAAAATTGTATAGACCAAGGTTTTTCAGCCAACTACATGATCCTTCTTCTCAATGTCTACAGAATATCAATTCACAATAATGCATTACTCAATTACTATGTGGATAATTGATGATATGGTGACCGTCACTATGCCATTGACTTGATAAAGGAAATGGATATCATATCCAACATCTATCGTGAGAGAGAAGAAAGTTTCACATAATTTTGATTTGAGAATCCATATTACACCTTCAAATCATAAAAAGACTATCCAAACAAGTACTAGGTTATATCGAGTAATTCTAGTATTTTATTTGGTCTACACCTTAGATATTGGAACAAAGCATCTAAGTATGAGCAAATTTCAACTTTTCTAAATCGATTACATGAAGTGAAGGATCAAACATCTAAACTATCAGGTAATGTATTGGTTAGATACTTGTTTGAATTCAAAGAATATTCACTATAACAATTCATAATCGATTACATGAACTCAAACTTCTAAATACTATCATGGACGATTTCAGCCCTGATCGTCTTATAAACTTAATAAAAAAATTCTCAAGTGAAGAATCAACCCTCTTATACTTATTTAGTGATTAATGCTTAGGAAAAAGAATAAATCGATGAAGCTAAAATAAGAGCTACACTCCCAAAAATCGTATAAAAAACACAAGAATATCAACATCTCTAAAGCTAAAATTTAAATTTTCAATGTTTTCAGCGAGAACTATGATGTAAATCGTGTCCTTCAGCGAGAAGCTCTTCAGCTAGAAATCTGTCTGAAATCGTGTTCTTTTGTGAGAAATTTGAGAGAAAAGCGTGACGGGGAGACTTAGCTTTAGTTCATCTTGCCAACAACCTCAAAGTAATCAATTTCTTCTTATTCTCCTCTTCTCAACACAAAACAAAAAATCAATCAATAACAAGAAGACGGTTTTGAGTACTTGCGCTTCAAGAAATCGGTATTGGAAAAGAGAATTGAACTCATGCTTGATGAAATCATTATCGGAGAAGAGAATCGGTATCAGAGAAGACGACTTCAGCTATTCAGTTCTTTGACTCAATTCTTCAACTCAGTTCTTTCGAGAAAGAGAATAGTGTGTTCTTCTCACAAATATTTTATGTATTCAAAAAATTACTATTTTATGAATTTTTTTTTGGCCAATAAAAATGGGAGGGAGAGTTAAAAATGTTGGAGGGAATATAATATTTTAGTAAAAAATTTAAGGCCACACTTGTAATGTGTTATTTTTATAATCATAAAAATAGGACGCCTTAAAAGTGTGGTTATATGTGTTAATAGTTGTTGTCAATTATATCATATTGTACAACACTTATAAAGTATAACTTATACCATTAAAGAGTACACTTTTTAAGTGTTGTCAATATAAAGTGTAGCTAAATGTTAAAAACATGAGCTACGCTTTGAGAGCGTCCCCAAAAATATTTTAGGCAACACTTTACAAGCGTTGTCCAGAACTAGTGGTTGGCCGTAGGCCTAAAATGATGACCAAAGCTTTTTTTAAAAAAATTACATTAAAAAGAAAGACATAGAAAAATAAATTATAAAAAAATCTTGTTTAAAAAGTTTTTTTTTAATTTTCCTATAAAAAAGGTTTTTTATTTCTTAACAAATATCACAATAGCAACAAAAATTATAACTTACATAAATCCCATGGTGTAAAACTTATATTACATACTATTCCTACTCTTTTCTATTTCACAAAAATCCCTTAAAATATTAGTCATCCGGATACATAATTGGTTGTGCGGATACATTAATTGTGATATATTATATATATTGTTGTTGCACTTAAAATGAAAAACAAAACAGAAAATCAAAATAAAATCCCATAATTGATGCTATTTAGTTACTTTTTACTGTATTCATCACAGAAACGTATATCCTAAAATAACAAATCAATTTAATATTCAAAATCCATGTTCATCTTTGTCCATATTTCAACGAAGAAACTTTTGAGTAGGATACAAAATTTTTTGTTGAAAATTTGATAACATACATAATGAATATTTTGATGACTAACACTCTCGAAGGAAGAAAAAATTGAAGATCGTAGTTTTTGGGTTCTTTAAATTCTACACGAATCTCACTATGGACGATCAGGTTGAGTTTCTTTGCCAACATTCTTGGTATCTTTTTTTTTCTGGTGGTTGCTTACCGTTGGGTAATGGCAGATCCCAAATATGAAAGCAATTAAAGTTGTTATTTACACTTAGCTTGGGCAAAAATAATTATTATTTGTCATAACTTCAGTTTTCGAGTTAAAGATCTGATAATAAAAGGTATGGAATACATATTCAAGTTCTCTAATCATTGTTTTTCATTCATAAATTTGTATATGATTGATATGTCATGATATATTACTGATAGAAATTTATACATTAAAACTTTGAAGTAGACATTGTAGATTTGAAGATTTGTGAATTAGTGTACTTTTAATATAAAGTATCAGATACATGTGAATTTCTTTTCATTTTTGAATTTGTATATGTACATATAACTCATGATACATTGCTGATTCAAACTTGATTTAATTTTAGTTTTATATGCAATGAATTTTTATTAATGGGAATCAGTGTGTCATTACTATAAAGTATCATATATATGTGAATTTTTATTTATCAGTATATGAATTTCTTTATATGTATCAATATATAAATTATCGCGTATTTGGAGTTAATTATCATTAGGCTTTGTGTATCTTGAATTGAGTTAATTGATATATGATGTATCTCTCACTTTTAAATGTGCACAAGTTGTTCCATGTTCTAAATATTATTCAATGTATATAGGTGGACGACAATACATCGTTTGCCTTAAGAGAAAAATATGTAACTATACGAGATTTCAGTATGACGAGATTCCTTTTACACATACAATCATTGTTGTGAAGAGCAAAATATTACAAAGATACATCCATACTGCTCTGATTACTACAAACCAACTGCATTAGCAAACACATATGAAGTTTCAATGGTCCTAATGCTAGATAAGAATAATTGATCAGTACCAATGTTTGTTTTGAAAGAAATTATCTTACCACCAAGTACAAAAAGATGCCTAGACGATCAAGGAAAAGAAGGAAAAAGTCTAGATGAAAAGATAAGCACAAACACAAATTGTTGTGGACGTTAAAGGTCATAATTGATGAAATTGTATTTTCTTTCTGAAAGAAGATTGACGAACTCCTTTTTGGGACTACTATTATGTTTCAAATACATTATTTTGAAATTATCAATTTTTAGTTTTTGCTTTTCAACTTTTACTTCGATAAAACATTCCAATTACTAATAGTTGGTGAATTTTTGATACAATAAATTGAAATGTTAAGATTTTCAACCTTGTATTCATTTTTTGTAACAGATTATGTTTTGTATACCTTTTTTAAAAAAAAAACAATGTATCATTAGCTATTTGGTAATAATGTACCAGAGAACGTGTTTATGGAGATGATCACATTCAATATGGTTTCGATACATGTTTATATAATGTATCATCATGTAGTTGAAAATGTATCTAATACAATAAGGTTGCGAAAAAATAGTATGTGAAATAAAATCAAGTGAATCTATAAATAATAAGTAAGATTAATTTATATATCTAATTTATCGGTTCGATTTGCTTATTTTTGCGATTTTTTTAGTAAAATCAAAATAAATAGTAGCGGTTTTCAAAATTTAAACCAAGCCTAAGCAAACAAAACCAAATATCATTTTTAAAAAAAATTGATTTGGTTCGAATTGCGGTTTAGGATGGTTGTTAATCAAAACCATGAGCAACCCTACTCATAGGATGTTAGATAGACATTTTTATGTGATAGTTGTTATGTAATTGATACATTTAGCATAAATTGAAATTCATGTATCATATCTAAAAAGTTAGTGCTTGATTTAAGATTTATGTATCTCGTTTTAACGGATAAGTATTGTGTTATTAAAGGGATACATTAAATAGTTAATTGTTGCTCATAAGTTGTTTGTCTTGAGATCGATACAGGAAGCATAAATTAGTATTTATGAATCATGTCCGTATAGATCGACATAGCTATGTACCATACACAAAAAAAAAATATGAATATGAGATATATTTAATATAAATTTAAATATACGTATTATGCCTAATAAATTAGTACATGATATATTATTATTTATGTCTTCATTTGTTGTTGCTTCATTAAGATCTTGAGGGCCTTGATTTGGTTCATCATCCTAAAGAAGCAGCATGTAGTATAAGCTAGGATACATTAAATTGATAATGTATCATACACAAACAAATTTGATGTATCAAACATCTGATAATGTATCATACACAAACAAATTTGATGTATCAAACATCTGATAATGTATCATACACAAACAAATTTGATGTATCAAACATCTGATAATGTATCATACACAAACAAATTTGATGTATCAAACATTTGATAATGTATCATAATACTAAATTTCTGATCATACTAATACATTCTTATGTGCACTTGGTTCTGTAGTAACATGAATATTTTCATATATAGGTTGGAGTTTTGAAAAACTCTCTATTTCTTGTTGATTTTTGGTAGTATCGTTAATATTCTCATCTATCGGTTAGACTTCTGAAACAGCAACCATTTCTGATTCTTGATAGTATCATTAATATTTATTTATAGTTTTAGAACAAACAATTGTTAACAAATATGTTAATGATGCATTTAATTATATTCAAGAAAAATATGTATGAGATATATAATTTTTATAATATATAATGAACTATAAACACTATTATTTATAATATATCAGATACATACCTTTACAATCATGGATCTGATCTTCAACCTCAACAACACATAAAATCAATGTTTTGGTCATTATGGCAAAATCCATTTGTATTGGTGAAGTTAGTTGTGAATCAAACTGAAAGGTACTTTTTTGAGGTTTAATATTGACTTTTTGTCAAAAAATATAATCGTGCAGTACATTGATTTACCAGCAACATTCTTCATCAGGGAATTACCTATGCAATTTAATCCAAAAAAAATAGATATTAAACCTAATATCTTTTGTGGTTGGTTGTCTTCATGTGTACAAATTTCATCAACTAAGAATTTAGGGAGAGAAAAAACAACAATGAAGAAGACAATTCCTACCTATTTTGAAATTGATTGATTAGAGAGAGAATTCTTTGGAAAATCAAATTGATTTGAAAATTGTAACAGCTAACAATGTGGAGTAATTTAGGGAGAGAAAAAAAAGAAGTATGAAATGTGGGTTTGACTATTGAATTTTTGTGTTAGAAAATTTCAACAGTTGAGGGAAATAAGAGATTTTTCTGTAATATTTTAAAAAGATAGAGAAAAATAGATTATAAGATAAATAAAGATGTGTATATAAGTAATTTTTCAAAAAAAAAACTTTTATATTTTTTTCTTTTGTATAAATCACAAAAAGAAACTTCAGAAGTTTTTGTATCACTTTAAACAAAGGATATAATTATATTTTCAACAAATTTCTAATCTTTCAAAAAAATAAAAATAAATTGTTTAACTCTCCAATCTGGACGAACTATTTGTATGAATACTTTAAAGAATATAATTATATTTTGATAGGATTAAAGAAATATTTGAAGCACAAGTAAATTATATATTCGTATGAATAATTTACCGATAAAACTAATTTTATTTTGAAAAATCCGAGGTTGAAAAACTCTAGTTTTTTTTTGTTTGATTTAGTTTATAAATTTAAAAATTCGATACAATTTGATTTGATTTGAAATCTGAAAATTCCAAACCAACCCGCCCATGTACACTCCTAGTCTAGTCTAGTATATCCATTAACATTTTTAGATGTACAAAGTTCACAAATAAAGTTCAAGTAGTGGAATTTTGGACTTCCTTGGTAGAGATGTAGTTGTTGTATGCTAGCAAAAGATATATAGTTTTTGAGATTACTACCAAACATATTAGCGATACTTAAGTTATTGTCATTAACAAATTACCGCTAATTATTATTTTTGATACATGATTTTACTTTGAAAAATTATATAAAGTACACCCAAATTGCCTAGTGAAGAATTAAGAAGAAGCAACAGGCTAATTATAGCTGGGCAGCTAATATCCGAGAAACCTATTAATATGTTGCTTCTGGTACAGATAGCTGAAAGGAAATTCAGTAATCTGTAGAGCACACATAGTCAATGAATAGAGCATCTACCAATTTATTGTTGGCATAGATTTTTATTTTTTCCATTTGCAAATGTAAGAATGTAATTACTTTTGTAAATCACAAATACCCAATTTATTACTATCAATTATCAATTCACTGTTTTGTCACTACTAATTATCAACTCACTATTTTTTATCACTAGTCATGATATAATTGAAAGTCTTCCATGTGATATTCGAAGTAAAAGTTCAATGAGTATTTAGATTTGCATAATGAGAGAAAATAAATCATATATTGAGATCACTATATTCGAAATCATATGAAAATAAGAATGTTTAAGAAGAATTATTATCACCTTGTCTAACCCCATCAAGTATTTCTGTGTACTAAACCTTCCAGTCAATCGTATAATACCCTTAATTCTTATCACCTTGTCTAACCAAGACCACATAATTTCATTACCTCAACTCTAAACTAGGTCCACTCTCTTTTGTTACTTACCCACAAACACCCCTCTATTCCTCACTCCCCCCTCCCCCCCCCCCCTCTAAAATACATTGACCATTGGTCATTAACCAACCAGTATACGTTATAAAGACATATCCCCGTCACCCTATATTCATATGCACACACACAATCTACCGATGCCGGACCATTAAGGACTTCACTACGAACAATAATGAACCTATCATGTTTCACCACACACTTTTACCACAATTAATTGGTTCTCTCACGGAACCCCATTCAATGGTCGCTCTTCTCATGAAATTTACGCTCAAACTCTTATCTTGTCAAAACGTGGCAATTGGATCCCATAATTATGCTGGAACATGGCAATCCAATCCAAATGTTGTGCTGAAACGTGGCAACCCGATCCAATAGTTAGCTTACCGGAACGTGGCAATTCGATCTCCATTCACACGTCATAATCACAATCACAACACATTATCAAGATCATATAATTAAGTATAATTTCATGGTATTAACAATTCATACATCTCCTTTTCAACAAATGAGAACCACATCATACCATACACATACATACCCGTATTAACATGAAGCACAAACGCGCATATATCAAACACATTATAGAATCACAACCATCCCCTAAGAATTTCCCATCCTAGTCTTAATCACGCAAGAGACCAACTCACCACTACTTCTTCATTAGGGTTCATCATTAGGGTTTGAACCTAATTTACTAACATTCATCTACTTGTTACTTTGATAGGTCGAACCTAGCATAGACCAAATTTTATACTCTTCTACCAGATAACCTTGCTTAATAAGGGAATCCTACTCGAGAAAGCAAGGAATAACACTTGCTTAGTCACTACATCAAGCACTAACCCCTAATACATTGCATTATAGAAAATTTTCAATTAATTTTACTCGGGGTACGAAGGTATACGCATACTACAAGGTAAACACAAATTTACAACTACTCAATGCATAAAAATAAAATCTACTGGGGCGCCAAGCAATTTCACGGAGTTTTGATTTCTTTTCCAACTTTTTCGAATTCACTACGGTGAATTTGCCAAGAATTCACAACATTCTGCCAATCCCCATGCTAGAAGTTCCTTCTCCTTCTTTTTCAAACTTCAAATAACTTTTCTGAGGTTTCTAGGTTATTTACGACCTATGGGTTATTTTTAGATAGGTAGAAAAATAAGGATTTCTCAAAATTTCAGATTTTGTCTCGCTGATCCCGCTACAGCGGGGTAAGTTGCCGCTGCAGTGCCATCGGGCCAGCGGCATCTGACGCGCTGTAGCGAGACATCTCTTCTCAAATAACGACGGTTCAAACCGTTATACAACTATAACTATAAGTTGAAGGCAACAATAAAGAAGGTACTTATATTTAAAAACAGAAACAAAGAAAACAAAAAAATATAAGGAAAAGAAATTAGAACAAAAACAATATTTAGTAAAATTGCAACATAAAAAATGGGCCTAATTTTATTTTCTTCAATTTTTCATTACAAAAAGAGTATTACATATTTGTCGTAGTTAGTAACAAATATTTAACTACAAAAATGAGTACTAAAAATTATACAAATAAAGTATTAAGAATTAAATTTTTTACTAAATTATAACTATAATATCTAATTTATTCTATTAAAATCTAATTTTAGAAACTACTAAATATTAGTCATTCTTGCATAAATTTCCTTTTAAAAAGGGCAACTTTCACATATAGCAAACAAAAAATTCATATTTGTATGCTATAGCAAAGTTTGCATAATTGTGCTCTATAGTAAACATAAAACTGTATAATTCGCTATACATATACAATTGTAGAATTCGCTGACCTAAATTGTATAATTTGCTGGCCTATTTCGCTGCAATTGTATAATTCGCTATCCTATTTCACTGCGATTGTATAATGCACAATTGTATAATTCGCTACCCATTTTGCTGCAATATTTTTATAAAATTTACTTTGCATACAATTGAATCGAATTAAAATGTATGTGCATAATTATAAGTGTATAGCAAGAAGATATATGTTTTTCTCTCGCTTTATACAAAAACAGAAACACAATATATACACTTCTGTTGTATAAAGCTAGACAAAATTGTATTTCACTGCAATTGTATAATTCGTTGGCCTTTTTCTGTGCAATATTTGAAGTAAAATGTTTGTAAATTGTATAATTAAGTGTATAACACGAAGATATATATTTTTGCATGTTTACATACAATTTTCTCTCGCTTTATACAAAACAGAAACATAATTTATACACTTCTGTGTTTAAAGCGAGAGAGGCGAGTGAGAATGGAGAGTGACGAGCGAGATTTTTGAGAGAGAGACGCCTGACAAACTTTAGCTAGTGTTTGCTATGGAGCACAATTAAATCAAACACTAGCTACTCCATTTATTTTAGGTTATTAGTTTGCTATTATATACAATTTTTTCTTAAAAAATTATAAATTTAAGGAATTCCATTGTGTAATACAATAATTACATTTAGTCCCGACAAATTTGGTATTTACTAATAATCCCTTAAAATTGTTGTGGCATGATACATTAGTATGTTGTGATACATGGTAAATGATACACAGTAACTTAAAACTGTTAAGATTAAAAGAGGAAAAAAAGGAACATTTAAATTGGTTATCTAAATCAGCTTAAATTACGATAACAATTCATTAATAAGCATTAATTCAGCACGTAATTGGATAACAATTTCAAATTTTGAAAATTCAAGATTATATCATATAGTTTAAAGACATTTTTATGAACATCCAGTTATTAAACTTATTGACTGATACATGATAACAATTTTCAAAAACTCGTGATACATAAAAAATCATATGATACACATCAAATTCATGTATCAATGCATCGTCTAAACACTATAACACACTGAGTCGATATGTATCAACAAGCACACTTGATGGCGCAGTTATTAAACTTATTGACTAATACATGATAACAATTTTCAAAAACTCTTGATACATAGGAAGTCATATGATACACATCTAATTCATGTATAAATGCATCGACTAACACATTATAACACACTGAGTACTTATGTATTAAACTTATTGTCTGATACATGATAACAGTTTTCAAAAATTCATGATACATATGGGATTCCTTCTAAAATTTTTACTAATTTCAACAACAATGGTTGCTGCTTCTTTTCTCCTTTTTGGTGTATTTTGTCAACATTTGATTTAGATGATTCGCCTACGTCTTTGTTTGAATCCTTCCGAACATTCATAGGATCATGCAAAGACTTTTTTCTATTTTCTTTCCAATTTTCATCGTCCGAATCATAAATCCTTCTATTAGTAAAAGGATCAATTAATATGATGTAATAGAACAATGAACAAAAAGAAAAAGAAAAAGAAAAGAAGAACGGATGATGGAGTAAGAAGGAAAAGAAGACCTAGAGACGGCTGATGTAATATAGCAATGAACAAGAAGAAAAAAAGAAGAAAATAAGAACAGATGATGGATTAAGAAGAAGAAGAAGAACTATAAACGGATGATGGAGTAAGAAGAAGAAGAAGAACCAGAGAACAATGGTCCAATTTTCAGTAATTTCAATTTTTTTGAATTTTGAATTTCAAAATTTCATATTAAATGTTG